TATGCGGTAGCGGAGCTTGCTAGTCGATACGCTGAAGACGAAGCACTTCCGAGTTTTGGGGAAATGGAACGGACTCTTTCCATATCGGCATTACCGCGATATGGACCGCGAAACCCAACGCCCCAGTCAGGGCTGCTTTAAGCACGATCATCCTTGTCAGTTCCGACGGGCATGTCCAGGTAATCGCGCGGGAGATAGACGGTCTCAACTAACACCAGAAGACTCTAATATTCAAGTTATATGCGTGGCCATCGGCAATGATGCGGCTATTCGCTTCGTGGAATCAATGGTGGAAAGCATGATACCGAAGCAACTGGAGCAACGACTGGACCAAGTACATGGCGGCATTGGTGCTCTCACTAAGACAGTGGGGGCTACGAAGGCCCGTCAGCAATCAATCAACTTCCTGCCAATGTTGGAGGATAAAATGGCGAATGTCATGAAAACAGCTGTCCAGCAGCTGCAAGGAGAGGATGACAGTATTCACGGTGACCAGAATTTTTGCGTAGGGAGTCAGACCCACCAGTAGATCGGATCCCGAGGCGAAGCCTACATAGTGCAGCAGAATGGCTTTCTGGATTCTTGTATTGTAGTGGGTTTTGGACTCTCGTGGGTGGACGTGGCTGTGATCACAGGCGATGTTGCCAAAGGGCAGGAGGTAACGAGTGCCAATGGCGCTGCACCGCCAGCGGGGGATGCTTCAAGCGGGGTGTAGACAGCTAAGATGAGGCATCGGAAGTGGACAGTGATGTATCAATTTAGGAGACAAGGGGAGCTGCTGGGTTTTGATTCTCACAGTCTAGGCTCCAACGGGGTGGGTACCGACACCATACGGGAGCCCGGTACTGCCACCTACCACTCATCAGGAAATATTAATCCGTAATGCAATCCTAAACGATGTTTTACAACCAGAACAGTACTCAGGTGACTACTTGGGTGATGATGAACTGTAAGGTGAGCAATCCAATCGGAAAATTCGAATGTGCAGACCGAGCACAGGAATAAACGTTTTACAAGCTCGTTGACGAGGTAGGAAGCTGGTTCATCGCGCATACTATGGATATCACGATAG